CACACACACACACACACACACAGACCTGAGACTTGGTGATTATTCGGGCTATGTCCAGACTTGGACAGTGCATTCGGATGGAGACTGTTGGGGACCTGTCTCTTATACACATCTAGATGTGTATAAGAGACAGCCTTTACTCCGACCGTAATTGAGAAGATAGTCCGGGGCAGCGGCGGAGGAGGAGGTGGATATGGAGGGTGGTGAAGAAGAGAGGAAGAATAAAATAATCTCTCTCTCTCTCTCATTGTTACCAGATACCTGTCTCTTATACACATCTAGATGAGTATAAGAGACAGCAAGTTACCCATCTGAGCCAACCCCTGCCCAACCCTTGCCCAACCCTTGCCCAACCCTTGCCCAACCCTCGCCCAACCCTCGCCCAACCCTTGCCCAACCCTTGCCCAACCCTCGCCCAACCCTCGCCCAACCCTTGCCCAGCCCCTGCCCAGCCCCTCCCTGACCCGGACCCGATGTGGACCTGACCCAACCCACCCAGCCCACACTAGCCCAGCCCAACCCGTCTCAGCCAGCCCAGCCCAGCCCAGCCCACATTCCAGCACATCCCAGCACATTCCAGCCTAGCCCAGTCTAGCCCAGCCTAGCCCAGCCCAGTCTAGCCCGGCGCAGTCCAGGCCAGCCCAACCAACCCAATCCAATCCCAGCAGACCGAAAGACTCAAACCAAACTCAAACCAAAGTAGCCCCAACCCAATCCCAAACCCGCCCCAAGCCAACAGTAGATCAACCCGAAACAACCTCCCAAACCAACCCGAAAACCAAACCCAAAACCAGAGGATTTGGTTTGAGGTTTAGCTTGGGGTTTGCCTTGGGATTTGCCTTGGGGTTTGCCTTGGGTGTTGGCGTGGCGATTCGGCTTGGTGTTTCAGCTTGGTTTTCGCCTTGAGTTGGCTCACGTTTTACAGGGTTTATAAATGTTTGTGATGATGAGGCATCATGTTTGGGGGAGATGACAGCATGACAATGACTCCATCTGCTTCAAAGGTCTGCTATGAAAAATAGCAAGTGGTCGCTCTGTCAAAAGGATGTTCTGCAATGAATCTTGAGTCAATCACCCCAACCTCGCACACACACATGCAACGAGCGTCCAGATGAGTCTTCACACTTGGAGCCAATAGCTGAGACACAAGAATCGCACAAGAGATTGGTACGCAAAATATCTTTATTACACAAAGAAAGTGTTCATGTCTCTTGGGGTCTCTGCCGCTCACACGGACTCAGACTCGAACCAGGGATGTACCCGACTACAGCTCC